GATCAGCGGTGTCTTGACCGGACTCATGACGATCAGCGGTGTCTTGACCGGACTCATGACGATCAGCGGTGTCTTGACCGGACTCATGACGATCAGCGGTGTCTTGACCGGACTCATGACGATCAGCGGTGTCTTGACCGGACTCATGACGATCAGCGGTGTCTTGACCGGACTCATGACGATCAGCGGTGTCTTGACCGGACTCATGACGATCAGCGGTGTCTTGACTGGACTCATGACGATCAACTGTGACTTGACTGGACTCATGAAGATCAGAGGTGGTTTGACTGGACTCATGACGATCAGCTGTGAACTTGACTTGACTCATGGATGACATGAGCAGGCTTTGACTTGGAAGACCTGACATGAGCAGGCTTTGACTTGGCAGACTTGACATGAGCAGGCTCTGACTTGGCAGACTTGACCTGAGCAGGCTCTAGAACAGCGGCCATGACGGGACAAGACTCTGGAACGGCGGCCATGTTGTTGAAAGTCTCTGATCTGGCGGCCATCTTGCGAACGGCCTCCGTGTTGGCAGTCATTTTATGACAAGTCTCCTCAGCAACTCCCACAGTAAAAGAGGAGCCGACAGATAACAGAGCATAGTCCAAAAACTCAATCAATGATGAACGGGGACCCTCATGGATTAGTTTAGACTTAAGAGGTTCATTAATGCCAGCACAAAAAAAATCCATTAATACACAATCATGGAGATTTGAATAATGAGCGGTGGCTAAAAATTCTTGAGTATAGCTTTCCAGTGATCGTATGCCTTGTTTAAGGGTTAATAGTAATCTTGTAGTGTCCATACCTAGCCATTGTCCATTTCCATTTGAAAAGCTGCTGGATCCTGGTGAGGCCGAGTATTCTGTAACGGGGCAGACGAGATGTGAGGCGTGAGGATCCATGTGCAAGCTTTATTTATAAACATGGTCAGAACACAGGCAGGGTCAAACAGAGTCCAAACGACAAGACGAGAGAGAGATCCAAGACAGGCAATAAACTTCAGGGCAGGTAGAGATCAGACAAGATGAGAAAACAGGCTAAGATCAAAACACGGGCAAACAGAATATGAACAAGACTAAACTCTAACTCTGGAATCACGGGATGGCTTGGTAAAGCAGCTAACACTAGGAGAGTGATAAATGCAGAACAATACTCGGCGACTTGAGCAGGATCTGAGTAGGTTTTTAGAGTGAACGGAAGTTCATAGACCGGATTCGTGACAAAAAGATTCAGATTCAATGAATCTGAATCTTACAACATGGAGCACATTTGTATGTTAAAGAATTTCAGAAATCTGTTTTCTAAATGCATGTTATTGATCCTTATCAAGAACGCATAATCTGTGCATATGTTTAATTAATTTTTTTTAAAGTTCTCTCTGGTAGTGTGTCGGACCAATAATTCCATCCACAGAAACCCCGCCCCTTGCAATCGACTGCAAGCATTTTGATATGCCTCCATCCAATAAAAAACTTTAAACCATTGGATCATTTGGACCAAGTCCTTGCCCTACATTTTTTCTTCTTCTCAATAATCCATTTCACTCGGATATATGTCTCAATGCAGAATAAAATATCTATCGCTACTTTTGTTACATCGCAACTGTGGTGGCACCATTCTACAGTGATGGTAAAGCATGGTGTAATACCATGGTGCTTTGAATTATACCTTCACACTGAATTACTATAATATTCATATTTAATAGTGTTTACATTGCACTTCATAGAATGTCATAGTTTCACAAATGTACTGTATTACTAGTTAAAAGGCAATGTAAGATGCTTTGAATAAAAGCTCCAAACTAATTCTGTACAATAAATGTATAGGTTCTCTGTCCAAAAATTTGGTAATACCTTTATACTTGTTTCTGAGTGAAATCTGAAGAAGGAGCCTTTCAAATATACTGATTGAGACACCTTTAAGTCAGCTCTCACTAATGTTTTAATAAAATATTTATCTTACAGTCCAAGATAAGCTAGAGAAAGAGAGCAGGCAGGGTGAGTGGAGTTTGTTAAATATCTTAGGTGTGTTTTGATGTGTGACTTTAAAGTGAAGCAAAACTGAGGCATTTACTCTTTAGCTACAATTTCTTGACTTTAAGAAAATCCCAGGAGGGATTTTCAGGTCTGTTTGTTGAAGGCAGCATCAGGGTGGTGGTAAAAGTATGAAAGCTTAGGTTGCAGGTTTAAATACTAGTAGTTGGTTCCTATGATCACTCAAATTTGTGTAAATGGCTATATGGGCTAAAGCTAAATAGCTATATCATCCCAAATAAATGTTTATGTCAGCACTGCGAGGACCATTTTGGACATGTTTAGGGATATGTTCTTTGTGTCTGCGAGCTTATTTGGTATCTGTGTATACTCATTTATTTTTTATTTTAAAATATTTTAGTTTCTGTCTAAGCACTAATGCTAAATAAGCACAAAAGCAAACCTGCTACATCTTTAAAACAGAGAACCACTTACACTTACCATTTTAATAGCTATTTGGGCCTGAATTAGTAATAAACCTCGAGTACATGTTTCACTGTGTGGCCTGGAGGGATCAAAATTTCCCAAAGGAGTACCTGAATACAACATCACACAGACTCCCTGATTCCCACACTGACACAGTCCGTTGCCACGTTTCAATGTTAGGAGATTGAGGAACCGTTTGTCCTTGACTACTCTGTAAAAGTAAATGTTAGAGCTAAACTCTGCAGGAAAGTGGATCTCGTGGGCCAGATTTGAGGATCCCTGGTATATCTGTTTTAAAATTCACCATCATGACGTTGGCTCCCATAAGGTGACCAGACTCATGTAAAAATAAAACAAAACTGCTGACTATTAGAAGTACTATTCATTTCTTTAGAGCTTAATCTTTTTTAAAGAAGGAAAGAATTTTCTGATGGCTACTAGTTTGTTCAAGGTTAGACTATTTGCTCCTTTTTTGTCATAAAAAGTAGCTCCATTTTCCTGAAGTAAAGGCCGATTATCTCAAACTGTCAAATAGTTTTTATCTTTTGTTGAATCGGCTAAATTTACATGACGAAAAACATCACATGATTTCACAGACCTGCACTTAATTAATCATGATGGCCTTTTTCTGAATCTTAGCGCTGCTGACAATGCACGAAACATGAGCTGAAAGTGTGTTTCCTCCCCAGCGAGAAAGAGAGGCTAAGAATGAATAAGAGGATGGGCAATATTTGCCCCATTCTTTCATTAAAGGAACAGTTCACCCAAAAATGAAAATTTGCTGAAAATGTACTCACCCTCAGGCCATCCAAGATGTAGATGAGTTTGTTTGTTCTTTGGAACAGATTTGGAGAAATTTAGCATTACTTGCTCACCAACTGATCCTTTGCAGTGAATGGATGCTGTCAGAATGAGTCTTCAAGCATCTGATAAAAACATCACAATAATCCACAAAACAAATTCATTATTAGGATGTTTTTAACTTCAAACATTTGCTTTTGGCTAAAATATAAGTCCTCTAATCCTAATATTGCTTTCTCCAGTGAAAAAGCCATCTCATCTGAAACAGGAGAGAAATATGCACAGATCAAGCACAGACTGGTATTTTGGCCAGCAGAGATGGTTTAAAGTTCAAATTCCTTAATGATGGATTTGTTTATTATAAACATGCAGCTTTTCACTTCACAAGACATTAATTGATGGACTGGAGTTGTGTGGGATACTTGTGAACTATTGTGATGCTTTTATCAGCTGTTTGGACTCACATTCTGATGGCACCCATTCACTGCAGAGGATCTATTGGTGAGCAAATAATCCTTAATTTCTCCAAATCTGTTCTGATGAAGAAACAAACTCATCTATATCTTGGATGGCCTGAGAGTGAGTACAATTTCAGCAATCAGCATATCATTGTGACATAATTAGTGTTTACTTTTTTAAATAAATGTGTATAATGTGCATAGGTATGAAAACAATGTTCTTTCTAGCTGTTTGAAGGAAACCATGTAGTCAGAGCTTCTATGCAGCTGTATTTTTCAAATTTTTTAAAAGCGGTGCCAAAACACCAGCAGGTGATAAAAAGCTTGTCTTCAGCACTATGTGTGAAAGCTATGTTGAGATTGACCCACTTTGAGCATGGTAAGTGCAGCAGGTTGTTATTGGACACTGACATTTTTGATAGATCTTTGCGGGATAGTTCTGCAAGATGGTTTACGGTTTAGTAGGTCTGTGGAATATATCGCAAATGTACATATCGCAATATGCATATCGCTACATCTTGCAATATTTGGGGCCATGAACAAAAGACAAAGAGAAAATCGCTCACTGCTCTTACCTAAATAACTTTTGTAGCTTAAATAAGAATCAGTGCATATTGAATTCAAAGAGAAAATACTAAGCAGTGTTTTATTTTTCCGTTTTATTATTCAGATCCTAAACTCATGTTAAAACGATTACACTAATGTTAAAATGACATTTTTATGTAATGCTCGAGTAAAACACTACTGTTCACTTTCAGAAGTTGTTGTAGGGGTGCTTTCTTATTAGAATCAGAATCAGAATGAGCTTTATTCTCCACTTAAGTGTGCGCAAACACAAGGAATTTGTTGTGGTTTTACAGGAACTCTTGGTACATACATACATACAAATAACCATATATATATGACACAAGATAGTTATAGAAGTTCACAGAACTGACTCAGCAACAGCTGAGTAAAACTGTTTCATCTGAGCATATGGCACTTTAAGCATTATCGTATCGCATATCGAATATCGCATTATTTAAAGAGTTTAACTGTCATTTCATTAAAATATGTCAAATATGCAGCCTCTTTCCAGCAAGACATCTCTAATGCCTGGATCACACAAGCCAACAGCATTTGTCAAAGCAACAGACAATCTCACAGAGAACTGGCAGGAATTTCAAGACCCAAAAGGAGAAAAACAACAGATGATCCAGGATGAGATTTGAGAAGACAGAACAACAACAACAACAAAAAATCTCTTTCACTTTCTCTGTCCCTCTCATTGTCGCAGGTGGTTTTAATATTTGGGCTATAACTCCAGAAGAGAGGGGGAAACATGACATACAGTTTGACTCTCTGGCTCCAACTCTGGGCTATTTGTCAGGTAAGAACACACACACACATACAGTACTGTTCATTAGTTTTGGTATCAGTACGATTTTTCTTTTTAAAAGAAATGTATAATTTTACTCAGCATGGACACATTAAATTGATCAGAAGTAAAGATATTTAAAATGACAGATTATAGTTACAGAGGATTTCTATTTCAAATAATTACTGTTCTTTTAAACATTCTATTGATCAAAAAACCCTGAAAAATGTATCAAGATTCTTGAGTGGCAAATCAGCATATTAGAATGATTTCTGGAGGACCATATGACACTGAAGACTGGAGTAATGGCTGCTGAAAATTCAGCTTTGCCATCACAGGAATAAAATACAATTTTAAATATATTAAAATCGCAAACAGATCATTTTAAGTTATAATGCTATTTTACAGTATTAATGTTTTTACTGTAGCATACATACCACCTAAAACTTTTGAAAGGTAGTGTATGCACATGCATATCATGCTCTTATACAGCGCACATAACGTTTCTTTCTTTCTAGGAGATCAAGCACGAAAGTTCTTCCTGCAATCTGGTCTCCCCACAGCAGTCCTAGCAGACATCTGGTAAGTACTATACACACACATACACACACCCTTAATGTACATACACCCTTAATCCGGGGTACATACACCCTTAATAGTTTTTCAGACGACTGTATAACCCTTCTCATTTCTTTCCCAAAAATGTTGTATTAAATTTTAAGATCATGTAAGAAGCATTTTCACTAGTGACACTTTGTATTTTTGACCCCACTGCACATCTGTATGCGTACAAATAACCTGCACATATGTGCAGCATTTGTATGTGTGTGCCTGTGGGGTTGTATTTGCTATTGCAAGGCTAGATTTATCATAATATAATTAGAAATGAATGTGTGTGGGACAATTTGCATTTGTAGCCACGTACGTCTCTGGATGGTGGAGGTTCCCAAATGTAACCTCTTCCTGTCTGTGGTTAGTCTACTGGTGTAAACACTGTCGCCCATCCACAAACAGGATGTAGATTTACTGATACAGGGTACAGAATGTCTCATTCGAGTTTATAGCATTTGCATGTTCTAAAATTCTCTTGTTCATAAATAAATATGGTAGCATAACAAAGATCTGAGCTTACAATAATGCTGCTCAGTCATCACAAACCAACTTCTGGGTTTTCCTGCTGGGATTATACTAGCAATTAGTTCTCTGTAAGACACTTTTGATGAGAATGGCTGCTTCCTTTATTTCAGGGCATTGGCGGACATAGGAAAAGATGGGAAGATGGACAGATTGGAGTTCTCCATTGCAATGAAACTAATTAAACTGCAGCTGCAGGGTCAACCCCTCCCGTCCAACCTGCCAATCATCATGAAGCAGACGCCTACCCCTGCAATGACATCTTCATCACGCTTTGGTATGAGTTGATTGTTGGTTATGTAATGCCATGTGAGGTTTGTTTGCTTTGTTAAGTTTATGCTACAGGTTGTGATGCTTATAGTACAGGTTGTAAAGATGATTCTGATATTAAGACATACTGTATATTATTATTTTTATATAAAATCTTACAGAAATCTGTAAATGGACGATATTTTTGGTAATTGAAATAAAAGTTAAATAAAATATATATATATATATATATATATATATATATATTAATACTATCTAATATATAAAAATTTGATGAAAAACCTAAACTGAAAAAACTTAAATCAAAATGAGAAATGTTGCCTTGGCAACTAACTTGAACAATGTTAAGTTGAAGTACAAAAAAATACTAAAACTGAAATAAACATAAACTAAAGCAATATAGAATTGAAAAAAAAATAAATAAATAATAATAAATAACAAAATTACTAAAATGAAATTGAAAACTGAAAATATTCAAATAAAAGTTAATAAAAAATATGAATAAATATTATAATAGTATATAAATAAGAAAATAACATTTAAATAAAATATTTTGTCTAAATAAATAAAAAGTAAAAATAAAGCACCAAAATTGTTTATAATTTTAAACGCTACATGTGAATGTACAGATAAAAAAATTGATATTTAACACAAGATTTTCTACTGATTACATTAAACAGTGTTATTAAATTATGTGTTATTTGAAATGTTTTTAAAGATTATCCCAAACTGAGCGTTAGATGACGGGCAAAAATAAAAGAAATTTAAAAATCTGAAGGATATGTGTATTCAATCAAAGAAAGGTTTTCCTATGAATTAATTAGAGAACAGTCCATTTCTCTGGGCATTATGTGTCTTTCTTATGAGGAAAATGAGGGAGTTTATCTCCTGCATTCCTTTTAGGCCATAAAACCAGTGATATCAGCATTGGTTACCATGGAACCAGAGGCCTGTTCTGCTTTTCTGAGGTGTTAGGTGCATTTCGGGGGAAGGGTCCATAGACCCTCGTAATTGGCCATTTGGTTAGGTGATGGGGAGTTCGATATTATTTGTTAAATATAACAAAAAGTTGTGTGTCTGATTGGTCCAAATGCTACAGCAGAAATGAGCATGAACAGCTAATTATCCTATATACAGTTAAATGTGCAATATTGTACAAATAAATAAAAAAATCAGCTGGCAATCAATATGGTACTAATACATCATATAGAATTGATCTCATATAATCTGGCTTTGTTTTGTTTCAGGTATGGGTTCCATGCCAAATCTTTCTGCCATGTCAGTGATGGCAGCCCCTGCTATGACCCCTTTGGTTCCTGTGCCTGCCCTTATGTCAGGACTATTGCCTCAGATGCCCAACTCTCTCAGTGTGCCAGCTTTACCTAATGGCAATGCAGCTCTCTTCACACCAACACCAGGTACTGTAACCCCTTCTATCCTAAATTCATGCACAAACCACCATTTTGCACAGATGAACATTCAGTATTTACTATTTAATCTACATGCAGTGAGACTAAAACATTGATTTCTTGCATAATCTATAACTCGAAAGTACATATGAAAGTTAACAAAGTTCTAACAAATTTTGCATGTGCTTTAAGTATTTCTCTTTCTTCTTTTATCTTTCCAGCATTCCCAGTCTCCAGTGGTTTGAGTAAATCTCACTCGCTTTTGGACCTTGTCTCTAGCAGGTATGAACCGTCCATACTAAGTTCAGCACCAAAGTTTGTATTGGAATTGGGCATAATATCTATTGCATGCAAGCGTTTGATTGTGTTTGTTTAAGTAAAAGCTAAAAAAGACAGTGATTTTCTTAGAACTGCACTCTGAGACACCCTCTTACTCTGGGCTAGTTTTGCCAGTACTAGAAGTTTGTAGTAAATAAGAGTGTGTTTGCTGACAGAGTGCTTGAATAGCACAGCTGTCTCCTTGTATCTTAATAGGATCTTGTTAGGGTTCCTCCGAGAGTCATCCAACCTCCACGTGGTGGTACAGAAGCCTCTAATAAACCCACTAATTCCTGCTCAGTGCCTGTTTAAAATGAATTTGGGTCTAGGGCTGTGCAATATATCTAATATACACAATACATTTGGGATGATTATCCTGGTGATATAAAATTAAGCAACATCATGTATGTCGTAATCAATTTAATGGACTTTTTATTTAGCCATAAACTTTCCTAAATTTCCATTTCCATGGAATTTGTCCATTTCAAAGAATCATTTCAAAATTTAACTCAACAAGTCACTTGTGTCATCCCTCAGAAATGTTCAAAGAAATGTTTTAGTGAAAATATGTGTTGATTAATTAAATATTAAATATGCAGTGTTCTTAGAATGCATATGAACAACAATGATTAAATATGATTCTCTTTGTGTTTATATAGAAAAAAATAGATGAACTAGATTTTTAAACTAGATTTTTTTAGCTGTTTTTTTTAGCTATTTATAAAATGAATTATTAAATCATGTTAAAGGAATAGTTTATCAAAAAAAGAGAAAGAAAATGTACTCACTCTCAGGCCATTCAAGATGAATTTTTTTTCTTCATCAGAACAGATTTTGATCAATTTAGCATTACATCACTTGTAACTAATGGATCCTCTGCAGTGAATGGGTGCCGTCAGAATGAGTCCAAACAGATGCTAAAAAAACAATAATCCAAAAGTAATCCACTCGACTCTAGTCAATAAATTAACTTCTTGTGAAGTGAAACGCTGTGTGTTTATAAAAAACAAATCCATTGTTAGGGCGTAACTTAATTTACTGGGTCTAGGGCTGAATATTATCAAAAGAGTGAAAAATATATATTTTTAGCTATATCGCTCAGCCTTATTTTGTCTGTGCGTGTGCTTATTTTGTCACATTGTCTTATACATATGTGCAAATGTGTTTGGGTTTGTTTGGAGGCGTATTAACCAGTCACCAGGATGATCATTCCCCTCAAGTTACATAATATAAGCCTACAAGTCGTTTAAGACACATCTCACTTTCTGAACGTTCTATCATTCTTGCCCATGCTGAACTGCAGAAGGCTGTGGAATCCTTTTAGCGTTATCTCAGAATATTTAAAAATCAGTAAACTGACAGCAGTGAGTTGGAATACTGCAGAATTGCTCATAATAATGAGTTGTAATTAAGATTTTAATGGTCCCGGTAGTGGTAATTACTGCACTAACAAGGATTCAGCAAATGTTGCTCAGACATATCAATTATTAAAAGTCACAGCAGAATCTCACAGCACTGAAGGAAAAGCTGATCTTGCAGCTTGCCTGAGACCAGTTGTCTGTGTTTTATGATGGTATGGGTTATTGGTTCATGAGAAGATTATATTAGTGTTAATGAACAGCTGCTAAATGGAGCTCATTTGATAAGAATTTGGCATGCAAATGCAATTTCTGAATTCAAGAGTGCAGATGAGTGAACATGCAGATTTGGAGAATGAAGAGTATCTGTATTTAGCATTAGTTAGGACATTCAAGAATACCATACATTTATTAATTAATTAGGTGCAACATAAAGCCTTAATAAGTAAGTTTATTTACTTATTTAGAAATTAAAAGCATTACATATTAAATGATCACATTTATAGAAAAGCATAATAATCATTTATTTCTAAATTTCCACAGTTCTAACTCTTCCTCCACCACCTCCGTTGCGAGTAACTCCCCCAAAATGAATGCATCTGATTGGGCGGTGCCTCAGTTGTCCCGTCTGAAATACCGGCAGCAGTTCAACAGTCTAGACAAGCTGATGAGCGGATACCTGTCAGGTGATTGTGTGTTTGTAGATAATCAGAAAGAGGAGGCAATGGCTGTGTTTGCATATGATAGCATCCCTGCATACGTGTTACGCATAACTCTTTTGTATGTTTGTTTGAAGGTCCCCAGGTCAGAAATGCCCTCACAGCATCAAACCTTACGCAAACACAGCTTTCTACCATATGGTGAGTTCACGAAACACTGTACTCATCATATGAAACACTCATTAATCTCAAGAAGAACATGTTTTGATGACATTATTTGCATACACATCCTCCCCCCTTTGCATTGTTTAATAGATAAAAAAAGAATTATGTCAAATAAAACTTGTTGAAGACCCATGCATTAATCACTCGCACACATTAAACCCTGGATCACACTATATTGTCTAAACACCTACTTCCACAGTGTTGCGTCTGCTGTTTAGCTGCCAGTTGGATAATTAGGAACTGATTCATCTATTAAACATTTGAAATGCTTCCAGGTTAATCGCAAATGTGTGTGCATGCATGGGCACATTATGTGAATATATCTGTCTTCAGGGCTCTTGCTGATGTAGATCGTGATGGGCAGTTGAGAGCAGAAGAGTTTATTCTAGCAATGCACCTGGTTGATATGGCCAAGAATGGGCGGCCCTTACCTCTGACTCTACCTCCTGACCTTGTGCCACCTTCACTCAGGTAAGACACACAGACCCGCCCATGCTGGAATGAGTAAGTTATGGAGGAGACTGTGTTTATTCTGTGAGTGTGTGTTTGTTTTCAGACAAGCGAAGTCATGTGACCTGCTGAACGGACCTGTTCCTCAGATTAACACTGAGCTGATTGAGCCAGAACATCCACAGAAAAGCAAGAGTAATGGCATTTGCATATACATATACATATACATACAGTGGGTACGGAAAGTATTCAGACCCCCTTAAATTTTTCCCTCTTTGTTATATTGTAGCCATTTGCTAAAATCATTTAAGTTAATTTTTTTTCCTCATTAATGTACACACAGCACCCCATATTGACAGAAAAACACAGAATTGTTAACATTTTTGCAGATTTATTAAAAAAGAAAAACTGAAATATCACAAGGTCCTAAGTATTCAGACCCTTTGCTGTGACACTCATATATTTAACTCAGGGGCTGTCCATTTCTTCTGATCATCCTTGAGATGGTTTTACACCTTCATTTGAGTCCAGCTGTGTTTGATTATACTGATTGGACTTGATTAGGAAAGCCACACCCCTGTCTATATAAGACCTTACAGCTCACAGTGCATGTCAGAGCAAATGAGAATCATGAGGTCAAAGGAACTGCCTGAAGAGCTCAGAGACAGAATTGTGGCAAGGCACAGATCTGGCCAAGGTTACAAAAAAAATTTCTGCTGCACTTAAGGTTCCCAAGAGCACAGTGGCCTCCATTCCTTAAATGGAAGACGTTTGGGACGACCAGAACCCTTCCTAGAGCTGGCCGTCCGGCCAAACTGAGCTATCGGGGGAGAAGAGCCTTGGTGAGAGAGGTAAAGAAGAACCCAAAGATCAGTGTGGCTGAGCTCCAGAGATGCAGTCGGGAGATGGGAGAAAGTTGTAGAACGTCAACCATCACTGCAGCCCTCCACCAGTCGGGGCTTTATGGCAGAGTGGCCCGACGGAAGCCTCTCCTTAGTGCAAGACACATGAAAAAACACCTGAAGGACTCCAAGATGGTGAGAAATAAGATTCTCTGGTCGGATGAGGCCAAGATAGAACTTTTTGGCCTTAATTCTAAGCGGTATCTGTGGAGAAAACCAGGCACTGCTCATCACCTGTCCAATACAGTCCCAACAGTGAAGCATGGTGGTGGCAGCATCATGCTGTGGGGGGGTTTTTCAGCTGCAGGGACAGGACGACTGGTTGCAATCGAGGGAAAGATGAATGCGGCCAAGCACAGGGATATCCTGGACGAAAACCTTCTCCAGAGGGCTCAGGACCTCAGACTGGGCCGAAGGTTTACCTTCCAACAAGACAATGACCCTAAGCACACAGCTAAAATAACGAAGGAGTGGCTTCACAACAACTCTGTGACTGTTCTTGAATGGCCCAGCCAGAGCCCTGACTTAAACCCAATTGAGCATCTCTGGAGAGACCTAAAAATGGCTGTCCACCAACGTTTACCATCCAACCTGACAGAACTGGAGCGGATCTGCAAGGAGGAATAGCAGAGGATCCCCTGAAAAACTTGTTGCATCTTTCCCAAAAAGACTCATGGCTGTATTAGATCAAAAGGGTGCTTCTACTAAATACTGAGCAAAGGGTCTGTATACTTAGGACCATGGGATATTTCAGTTTTTCTTTTTTAATAAATCTGCAAAAATGTCAACAATTCTGTGTTTTTCTGTCAATATGGGGTGCTGCGTGTACATTAATGAGGAAAAAAAATTAACTTAAATGATTTTAGCAAATGGCTGCAATATAACAAAGAGGGAAAAATTTAAGGGGGTCTGAATACTTTCCGTACCCACTGTATAATATACATACTAGTGGCCAAAAGATTATCGGCGTCCAATATATTGCCTATATGCTGAATAATATATATGATATTTTTTTTATATTTTATTTTTTAATGATGCTATATGAGCTATACACAGAATTGCCAAATTTAAAGATACATTTATTAGTCAAAAGTGTGTGTTGTCTTTTAAACCTGACCTATGCATTTAGTACCTTATTAATGTATTTACCTGTTCTATTCAATGCTTAATGCTCACAATGCAGTACAGTATTGTAAATGATCCTTCCAAATATTGCTGATTCAGCTAAACAGTCTCTTTTGAGTTTGGGTTGAGATAAAATCCTTTATATTAACCTCATGATATAGTAATTTTTTTGAAATATTTAGTATTCAAATAATATAGTACATTTTTTGAATATACACTTTTCTGTTCTGTATTAGAATGTTTTTATCGTGTTGACTTTGATGACACTTGCCTCACCTTTCTGTCTGTCTCTGTCAGCGTCATTTGAGGATAAACTAAAGGAGAATTTCCAGAGAGGAAATGCAGAGCTGGAAAAGCGTCGTCTGGCTCTGCAGGAGGAACAAAAGAGAGAGGAGGAGAAGAGGAGAGAAGAGGCGAGACGAGAGGAGGAGAGGAGACAACAGAAGGAGAGGGAGGAAATAGAACGAAAGGAGAGAGAAGCCTGGGAGATGGAGCTGAGGAGACAGAGGGAGGACGAGAGGAGGATGGAGAGACAGAAAGAGCTAGAGCGACAGAGAGAAGAAGAAAGACTGAAAGAAGTAGAGCGACGAGAGGCAAGTGGAGCATGCAAGGGCAGACAGAGGTTGAACGACCACTAGAATGTTACAGCAAAGCCCTAAATTTTTTACACATTTATCCATGTTCTATGAATAAATTGTTTATACACTCAGGCTGTCAAAAGAACAAAAAAACTAAATCATGATTTATCTCTTGAAGGTTTAGTTAATAAATTTTTTGGTGAGTTGTGCCAGTACCTTTAAATATGAGTGTTTTTCTTTTTTCTTTTTTTTTCTTTAGTGTGCAAAACAATAGTGGGGACATGGGATAATGTCCTGAAAAGTCACCTTCTCCTTGTAATACCTATGTCATACCTTTGTCATTATACAAATTTGTCCTCATTTGTCACAAAAACGCGTACACACACACACACACGCACACACACACACACACATATATATGTGTGTGTGTGTATATAGTTCTACAAAATAATTTATATTGAATATATAATATTGTTTAATATTTTTATTTAATATAATAACTGTATAATATATATTAAATATGTAAATAAAATTGACTGCATTTACATAAATAATGTAATTAAGTTAATGTTGAAATATTAAGTTAGGAATATAGTGGTTGATTAAATTGTGCCTAAATTAAATAATTGAATGAATTATTATTACAAATCGGAAAGCTTGCGATTATTAATTATGAATAACTGTAATGTATTTAGTTTAATAATTCTCTAATGCTGCATTTCATTACACAAGCAAAATGTGTGTGTTGTACTCCTGCCCTGGTGGTCTTTAGAAATCATAAAGAACAGAATTAAACTGTTGTACTATATAAAAGTAGGAAAATAGGTTAATTGCTTTAAAAAATGTAATGGCATAAGATATATTTAATTAACTCACGAGTTAACCGTAATATATACTGTACCAGCGGAGTGGCTCCTTGCCGTAGGAAAAATGATGGGAGCGTAATTACGTAGTATAGTCATGCCTGAATGAGTGGTTAGACCATATATCTGTTGATTAACCTCTCCTTCTATGTTTCGCTCTCTCAGGAAGCGGAGCGACAGAGGCAGATGGAATGGGAGAAGAGTAAACGAGTAGAGCTTCAGACACAGAGAGAAAAAGAGCAGAGCGACGTACAGAGACTTAAGGACAGGAAGAGGCGTCTCGAGATGGAGCTGGAGGCGGTGGTCAGATTGCAATTTCTTCTTTCTATTTTTTTTCTCCTTCTGTATACCTGTTCAGTTCCCCATCCAGTCTCATACTGTACATGCTGTTTTCTGTGGGATTGATAGTTATAGTATATTACAACTTAAAAACATTTCAGTCTTTTCTTCTCCTAGGGTAACAAGCATAAGCAGATCTCCGATAGGCTGCGGGATGCCAAGAGTAAGAGGCAGATCCAGAGGGCCGAGCTGGACCTGATCAATCAGAAGAGAGATAGTCGTATTACAGATATCAACTCCCTACAGTTACAGTTTGAGGTAGGTTTTGTTTTTGTTGCATGAATAGCATTACATTAATTATTTTTTCTACTTTCTTTTCATTTTATCATTGTTGTACACTGCTGTGCAAAAGTTTGGGATCAATCAAATTTTTTAAAGAAATGAATTTTTATTCAGCAAAGATGCATTAAATTTATAAAAAAATGACAGTAAAGACATTTATAATGTTACAAAAAAATTATATTTCAAATAACTGCTGTTCTTTTGAACTTTCTATTTATCAATGAATCCTGAAAAATATTTAACATGGTGTCCACAAAAATATTAAGCAGCACAACTGTTTTCAACAATAACGTTTTTTTTCAGCACCAAATCAGCATATTAGAATGATTTTTGAAGGATTATGTGAGACTGAAGACTAGAGTAATGACTGCTGAAAATTCAGCTTTGTCATCACAGGAATAAATGACATTTTGAAATATATTCAAATTGCAATTGCAAATTTCTCAATATTACTATTTTTACTGTATTTTTTTTAACAAATACTGTAAATGCAGCCTTGGTGAGCATAAGAGACTTCTTTCAAAAACATGACATTTTTTTTTACATTAGTAGTCTATATGAATGTGTTTTTCCAGGAAATTCAGAGGCAGTTGAGTCGTCTTGGTCCTGAGAAGCAGCGTCTGACAGAGAGAATTCTACATCTTTCCCAAAACAACTCAAGTGAGCACTCACATAGACCTGAAGCAATCCGTGAATAAACGGCTGGATGACTAATTTCATTTGTGTCCATTTCATTCCTCCTGAATTCAAGGCCTGGGAGTATAGACATTTTTTATGTCCTTCTTTCTCTCATTCTTCTTCCCCTTTCAGGTCCTTTGATAAATGATGTGAAACAGAGTGTGTGCAAGAAAGATCTGAGCTGTCGGAAGCTGAAGGAGCAACTGGATGTTTTGGAGAAAGAGACCACTGCGAAACTCTCACAAATGGAGCAGTACAACAGAGAAATCAAGGTCAGCTCTTACATTCCCAGTGTAAATCTCTTACCAACATTTTAAGTGCCGTATTTTGATTAAAGCTAATGTGGACTTTGGGTGGGGGCTTGCTCTCTTCAAATTTATTTTAAACCTTAATGTCCCTGTGAGGGACTCACTTGTTCTCCATGTTCCTGTGATTAAAACCTACAGCTCAACTCCCAGCCCTGAAGGCAGAGGATTGAGCACTTCATTACACACTAACATTCACACAGTTCACACTACTAAAGAAAACTCAACACACAAACACTATCACTAACACACTTACTGCACCGGCTGGTCGGATCAGAAACCCGAGCATTATACATGTAGTACTCAGCTATTGTTTAGTATACGTCTGATGTTTTCTGCTCCAAGCCTTTCTTTTTTCTTTCTTTGAGCCCACTTTTACCGTTTTCTCCCCCCCACTGTATTTCTCCTCTTTCTTCTCTTCCTCTTTCCCCCGACTGACATTATAGTTTGTAGAAATGGATGATTGTGTGCTTCAAGGACTTCTCTCTTTGCTGAGCTGCTTAACCAATCTCTTCCTTCTAATAAAGGTTGACCTCTCTTTATCTTTCTTTCACTCTCACTCATATCAAATCTGCCTGTCTTTCATTCATTTCACCTTTCGCCCTAATTATTCTCCATGAAAGAAGTCTCACTTTACCCATATTATACTGAAATGAGCTTCAATGTCTGACCTCATAACATCTTAGTGTCTCTCTGTGCCATTTCATCAATTCATAGTGATGCCATTAAGTACACTAAAGGTTTCTACTCACTGCCCAAAAAACTAACTAAAAAAAGTATTGAGATTTTTGTTTTTAATGTTTGAAACATTTCTTTTTCTATAACTAGTTTATTTGTAAGCAGCAGTAAACTTAGAGCCAGGGTCTAAAAAGTTAAACAATCCTTAAGAATTTGATGCTGGAAGTGAAAATCTGTGACCCGTGTTATTTTATTTTGTATTTTTTGCTTGAAAACAGTTAATTGGCCTATAGAACTGGCCTATCTAAAATATTTATCATCAGAATAATATTTATTTCTCTCTCTCTCTCTCTCTCTCTCTCTCTCTCTCTCTCTCTCTCTCTATATATATATAAGATTTGGGTCAGTAAGATTTTTTTGAATGAAATTAATACTTTTATTCAGCAAGGATGCATTAAATTGATCAAAAGTGACAGTAAAGACAAAACAATCTGTTTCAAATAAATGCTGTTCTTTTAAACTTTCCATTGATCAAAGAATCCTGATAAAAATGTACCACAGTTTTCACAAAAATGTTAAGCAGCACAACTGTTTTCAACATTGATAATGATAAAATATGTTTCTTGAGCACCAAATCAGCATATTAGAATTATTTCTGAGGGATTATGTGACACTGAAGACTGAATTAATGGCTGATAAAAATTAATCTTTGCCATTACAGGAATAAATGACATTTTTAAATGTATTAATATTTTAAATTAACAATATTTCATAATATTGCTGTTTTACTGCATTTCTGGTAAAATATTTATTTATTTATGAAATAACATTAATGGAACAGATCATTTATAGGAGCTCAGTATTTTTCAGTAGTAGTAATTTATGTTAGTTTCGGCAGTCAGTAAAGCTGAGCGTAATGCAATACCATATGTATTTGAACCTGCACCATATTATTCTAAGTGCTTTTATAAACATGATGTGTATGTTGAAGAATTGTGTGGGTAACATTTCAGGAGTTGAGACAGAGGCAGAGCCAGCAGCAGGACGTCCTAGAGCAGCTCAGGAGGGTGAGATCTGAGAAAATCAAAGAGCTACAGAGACACAGGAAAGAAGAGGAGGAGAGGAAGAGGAAGAAAGAGGAGGAAGAGAGGAAGAGGAAGAAAGAGGAGGAAGAGAGGAAGAGGACGAAAGAGGAGGAGGAGAGGAAGAGGAAGAAAGAGGAAGAGGAGAGGAAGAGGAAGAAAGAGGAGGAGGCTGCCAGGTATTTTGATTTCACACACAGATATACACATTTTTCAAGCCATCTACAGAGTTCCCACATAAATGAAAAATATGGAAATATTAAGGTATTATATAATTGAGACATATAGGCTTTAAAAAATCATTTCAATTTCTGTCAATATTTTATAGTTTTGTAGAATATATTATAGTTTTTATAGTTATGTTCAGGTTTATAAAAAAATGTTTTAGTTAGTTTATCAATCATGTTTCTCTGTACCGTTTTCTTCCGTATCATATTTCTATTCTCAGCAAATATTCCCCCTAAAATGGCTAGATTAAACACCCACTCTTTTACCCACTCAACATTGTGCTCATGTGTACATTAGACAGGCGAAGCTGGAGCAGGAGGAAGTGGAGCGTCAGAGGAAGCTTGCCCAGGAGCGAGAAGCCAAACTCAGGGAAGAACAGCGGCGGCAAGCCGAAGCCCAACTTCAGGAAGCCCAGGAGCAGGCACGAGAGAAAGAGGAGAAGAGGAGGGCTGAGGAGAGAGAGAGGGGGGAGAAGGAAAGGAAAGAGAGAGAAAGGAATGAACTGGCTGTACACACTCAGCCCTCCATGACATACAATAGCACAGAGAACAAAAGTGAGTGTGTGTGTGTGTGTGTGTGTGTGTGTGAGTGAGTGGGTGAGGTGCTTTAAAAATGGCTTGTATTCATCCACTTGGCAATGAATATGATGTTTTCATTATATTCATTGTAATGGGTGTCGTTGCTCTCATGGCTTCATGATTCACTTTAATTACCTCCCATTAATTATCCGAGTTAATATAACAGACTCCACTAGAATGTGAGTGTTTTGAGAGAGGGAAGGTAATAGGCTGCTAAACATTTTCATACGGAATATGTGTATTTATATTTTAATTTCACATAATACTCTAAACTCATACTGTGTTCTGTCTCTTAATTCTTATTTAAATTATGCCTTATTATGTTTATTATAATGTTACTTTATGGTAATTTACCCAAAATAGAAAATCTTGTCATCATTTTCTTACCCTAATGTCAACTTCCTTTCTTCCGTGAAACACAAAAAGAAAACATTTGAATTACCGGTCACTCTTTTCCATAAAACTTGTGTGCTCGTCTTCTGAATTCAATTTTGTTTGAGAAACAGACTCAAATGTACGTAATTAAATTAGAACTGTTGATGGCTGCAATCATATTCATTATTTATTGATTTAATATGGACTACTTTTAGTGAACTTGAGAACTGAAACAGTCTGATATGTGATTGAATCATTCAGACCAGTTTTGTAAACTGATTCAAGTGAATACATTTACTGTAACTCACAATGGAATATTACATATATGGAATATTGCGGTGTTTATTAAAAATGTATCAAGAAATTCATTAATTTGAAAAGATTTGATTCAATTGAATGATTTATTCATGTTTGGAAGTTGAAACGAACTGAACAATAATTCCATTCTTTACTTGCTACTAATGATGTAGAAATATATACATTTTGTAGACAGAACTTAAAGGCTACTAAACTGAATCTAGAAACAAAATAGTCTGTTACACTCGGAAAGTGTAGAGAGCAGTACAATTACTGCGATAGTCGATATAAAATGATGTTTGCTGATGTGGGCTTTCTGTTAAGAAAATGTTTTTATATATTGAAATATGCATTTGTAAATGTGCTGCCTTTGCTGAATGGTAGTGAGATGGTTGTGATATGGTTCTAAGGTTTGTTTTTTTGCAGGCTTGCAGCCCGTGGTGACTACTGAAGATACATGTCCTGCCCTCACCACCTACAGAGCTCTCTATCCCTTCACAGCACGCAACTCTGAAGAGCTCACACTGGAGGCAGACTGTCTGATTGAGGTACTGTACATAAGTAAACACATTCACTCATGCAGTTTGTAATTTTCAAGTACACATATAATTTGGCTTCCTGTGGATCCACAGGTAGATGAATCAACAGTTAGGGAGACCGGCTGGCTGTATGGGAGTTACCGTGGTAACAGGGGCTGGTTTCCAGAGAGTTATGCTGAGAGATGTTGTAAAGACAGTCAGATTGAACTGACCGTAGCCGTTACACAATCCACAGCGCCCTCTACCAACTACCCTGGGTATGGCACTAAAACGACTCTTATTATCTAGGCTGTGCAATATAGTATAACAGGGCAAAACTGTTCAACCTGTTAGTGATATAAATTATGTTTAAAAGGGTGTTTTTTTTATCAGAGAAATCATCCTTTTCAACCTTTCATTCGTTGTAGCCCAGCAGATTCAAAATTATTATTATTATTATTAAAATTACACACAGAAACAAGTTAAAATAACCAAGCAATGATTTTTCCACAATAAAGGAAATAAATAAGGAAAAAATAATATGGAATAATTTTCAGTTATATGCCCAAATAAAATAATAAATAGCAATATATTTTTTACTAAAACCGTTTCACTATTCACTAAAAATGTCTCATAGAGACTTCCATAAAAATGAGTAATGATGCAGATTAATCATATAATTCGTTTCAAGTAATTTACTGAAATGAATGAAATGTACCTATAAATTATGAATGATATATCATATACACACATACTGTTTTAATGAGCTTCACATTTGTAAGCTGCCAAAATGTGGCGTTCCAGTATGTGTCAGACATACAGGAAGAAACGTCAGATGCAGTCGTTTAGTCTGCCACCACTCTTTTATTCTTACTCAGGGAGGGTGAAAGACCTCCGTCAGAGATTCAGCAACGTTCAGTAGGTGTGACATCTTCGACCGTTATTGCGATGGTGGGAAATGATCTTAACAGATTAACTTAAAGGGAGAGTTCACCCAAAAATGAAAATTCTGCCATCATTTAATCACCCTCATGTCGTTCCAAACCTGTATGAGTTGCTTTCTTATGTTGAACACAAAAGAAGATATTTTGAAGATTACTGGTAATCAAACAGTTGGTGGTTGCCATTGACTTCCATAGTAGGAAAAAAATACTAGGGAAGTCAATGGCAACATATGTTCAACATAAGAAAGCAACTCATACAGGTTTGGAACGACATGAGGGTGAACAAATGATGACAGAATTTTCATTTTTGGGTGAACTATCCCTTTAAACTTAAATTTGTTTTAGGGTTGTGTTATTAGTTAAAAAATTGCACACATATTTTAAAAGATTAATGTGTTTATTTTAGATGAATGAATAATAAATGATTTAAAATCCTTCTTTTCCCAGAATTCCTCGAGTGGACATTGAAGGACCAACTCCAACACACACACCAGTGTCTTCAAACACACAGCACTCGCAGGTTGGCACGTGTGAATATACACACACCATCTATCTCAGCATTGTTTTTTGATCATTGAAAGGAATATTACTCTAATCATTGTCATTGCACATCATTTATGTATGTGCATTTTTTTGTGCTGTAGGCTGTAGCTCTGTGTGAGTGGAGCGCTATGACTGATAGTCACCTGGGCTTCTCTAAAGATGATATCATCACGGTTCTGGAGAAGCAGGAGAACTGGTGGTATGGAGAACTCAATGAGAGCTGGGGCTGGTTCCCTTGCTCATATGTCTCCATGGTTACTACCAATAACACACAGAATGAGTAAGAAATGGGATACCTCTCACTTAACCTCACAAACATGCTTAATAAAATAATTATTAAAGTATAATTAAAGACAACTGATTATTTTATGTATTTTTTTTTACACATTTAATGCATTTAACACATTTTTAGATCATTATAATATAGGTCAGACTTTTATTACTCCAGACAGCTTAAAGTATTAGTACCATATAAAGGTGAAATAAAAATAAATACTGATAGTCACCTGGGCTTCTCTAAAGATGATATCATCACGGTTCTGGAGAAGCAGGAGAACTGGTGGTATGGAGAACTCAATGAGAGCTGGGGCTGGTTCCCTTGCTCATATGTCTCCATGGTTACTACCAATAACACACAGAATGAGTAAGAAATGGGATACCTCTCACTTAACCTCACAAACATGCTTAATAAAATAATTATTAAAGTATAATTAAAGACAACTGATTATTTTATGTATTTTTTTTTTACACATTTAATGCATTTAACACATTTTTAGATCATTATAATATAGGTCAGACTTTTATTACTCCAGACAGCTTAAAGTATTAGTACCATATAAAGGTGAAATAAAAATAAAAATATTAGTTTATTATTTATTATATAGAAGTATTAAAAAATACATTATCATTATTTTAAGATGTGCTTTTATTTGAGATACAGCAGGGATGATTGTAACATTTAATTAAACTATGTTTCAGTATTTTGTAAATATTTCTCTAAATATAAATTTAGATGGTAGTATTACTGTATTCTTCTTTTAACAAAAGCAAGAAACCTAAACCGTTCATGTTGTTTATGTCTCTTCTAGGCCGTTATATTCTACAATGGATGAGATTGAACTTTCAGATTCTGGTCTGTTTGAGGGTGAGGAGTCTGTTTATGTTTTCATAGAACCATCTGTAGTCATCCAGGCAAGATATTATGACATTAAATTGACTCATCATTTCAGAGGTTTTTCTCATGGTTTTTTATTTGATTTGATCTTATTAGAGTACGTAGCTTTGTACACATATGAGAGTCCGGAATCAGGTGACCTGACATTCTGTGCAGAGGATGTTGTCCTGGTAACAGAGAGGGAAGGAGAATGGTGGAGAGGGTGTATCGGTGACCAGTCTGGCCTCTTTCCTTCCAACTATGTTAAACCCAAAGAGCCTGATGTATGCATATTCAGATAATTGTATATTATTATGTATTTATAGCTGCCTTATGAATATTAATGATTTATTCACTTACTGACCTAATACTGACATTTTATTTAATACTTTAAATTATAATTTATTCATATTTTTATTCATTTGAAACTTTAATGATAATGTTAATGCTAGATAATGTTCTTTTGCAGAGAAATGCCAGAGACATTTAAGTTGGTATGCATTTTGATAATGATGTGCTCGCTGTGTTATCATTTTAGACTGCCAATCCTGGAGTTCCTGGTAAAAAGCCAGGTGAGATTTGAGAGCAGAGTACCATCACATAGAAGTAAAAATCAAGGCGGATTGTTTCACATTTTAGACATTATTCATTTGCCATCTTTATTGGTGTTCAGAGATTGCTCAGGTGAGTATGGCCAATGCTGCCACAACACCAGAACAACTGAGTCTGACACCTGGTCAGCTGATCGTGGTGCTGCATAAGAACTCAAACAGCTGGTGGCTGGGTGAACTACAGGTTAGTACTCTATATCACATAACAGGACAGCATTTGCATATTGCGCATATAAATACATATTAAAATGTTTACATAGATACAAAAACATTAAGCGACAATTTTAATAGCTTAGTATAAAAACAATAGAAATCAGTGGAAAGTCACCAGCTTTTAAAAAACAAATAACATGTGTGTGTTTGTAGGCACGGGGTAAAAAGCGTAAAAAGGGCTGGTTCCACTCCTCTAATGTCAGATTACTGGAGGCCAACAGTGGCAAAATAACTCCTGCATCTCAACCATGTGAGACACTCTTTCATTCACACTCTTTTGTATGTGGTTGCGTGTATGTTGTTTTCCCTCATCTGTTCCATTCGGCTCTATCCATCCATTCTCTCTGTTTTTCCCCTTCCCCCTGTAGTGTGTCAGGTTATTGCAATGTATGACTACAAAGCAGCCAATAAGGATGAGATGAGCTTCCAAAAAGGTCAGCTGATCACCGTATTCAACAAGGACAACCCTGACTGGTGGAAAGGAGAGGTCGCTGGGGTCGTAGGGCTGTTTCCAACTAATTATGTGAAGATGACCACAGAATGTGATCCCAGCCAGCAATGTAAGTACTATGAGAGTTACTTTATCAGTTCCTGTTTCCACATCAAAGTTCAGAGTTGTTCGTTTATAAGGCAAGGGTGGGGAAAATTTAAATCAAAATAGATTGAATTAATTGGGTTTGAAATAACCTTTTAAAAAAGAGTAAATAAGGTGTTGATGAACAAACACATTTACACAGCTGTGGTTTTTACATTTTATGATGTACAGAAAAGGACAGACTTTTTGGCCATAGCCTTTCTTTCTTTCTTTCTTTAAACAATTTCTAATATATATTCTCTACCCATTCCTTCATTATTCATTCTCTCCTCTGCCCTTATCTCCTCCCTTCCACCCTTTTTCCACGTCAATCGCCTCATCTGTTTTATTGTAGGATGGTAGCTCTGGCTCCTCCTTCCTGTTCCTCCACTCTTTTCTGGGCCAATCAGAACACTGCTCTTGTCCAGAAAGCAGCCTCAAGACTCAAGACTGACTAGATTTGTTTGGATTTAACCCCTCCCCTTCAACTATTTCTGTTTAGACTTTGCTTAAATCGCAAATGAACTGACCTTAGATATTTTAGAGAGTTAATTCTGAATGTCATAACTTTGCTCTGGATGCAGTTTTGTATGGAAAGTATTCACAATTATGTGACGCAGAATTTCACAAATAAAGTTTTTAATTGTGAGATGCTGTTGTGATGTGGTCACTGATGAGTGCATGTGTGGCTTGTCCTGCATATGTGTGTGTGTAGGGTGTGCTGATCTGCTCAGTTTAGAGTCTATGTGCACTGAAGAGAGGAAGAGGCAAGGCTACATCCATGAGCTCATTCAGACAGAGGAGTCCTATCTGGAGGACCTGGAACTGGCACTGGAGGTGAACCAACAGCCACTTCAACAATATTCATGATATATCTGCGTTTGGAAAGTAATGCTATTTGTTTGGACTCTTAAGTTACATAAATATGTTGATTTGGTTCCGGTGTGCGTGTGGAAATTCAGGTTTTCTATAAACCAATGGCAGAGTCAGGGCGGCTGACGGAGGCTGAGATGAGCATGATCTTTGTGAACTGGCGGGAACTGATCATGTGCAGCACCAAACTCCTAAAGTGAGTCAATGCTGACTGCATCCTGTCTGGGCAATTGCAAGTGGTGTCTGGTGGACATTCAGTGTTTGGTTTAAATTTTTTTAGTCCAATATTAATTCATGTTCCAGTTCTATTTGAAGTTTGCATTCTGGAAAACCGTTTATTTTACCCCATACACATGGGACTATTAACTAGCAACCAGTGGATGCAAATGAAAGAATTAAAATAGAGAACTTTTATATATGAGTAGATTTGTTCAAGGTAATATAAGGAAACTGAATGGCTCTTAAAATATGAGAAGTAATTGTAACTATTATTAATATTAAATGTGAGTGATGGAATTAAAAACTTTTTTTAATTCTTCAATATTTTTAATGGTTTATATATGGTTTATTATGAATGACAATCATTTATTTTATTCCTTGTTTTTTTTTTTTTACTAGTTGATACAATATTTATTTCTTTTCATATACATTTTATTTTAATGAAAACAAAGTCTCACTAAGTTTATACATTAAGAACCTTAACTAACATTATAGATGGACCACAGGGTAAAACAATTGAATAATCAAACATATATAACGTGGCCCCTTTAAAGTAAACTACCCTTTAATCAGTACTGTTCATCAGCACAATCATATATTTGTATATCACAGGATTGTTAGTCTGTGTGTTTAATTGTAGTCAAAGGAACTGATGACCAGCAACACGTGTTGCCCTCACACTTGACCAGCTATGCAGCCAGCTAACAGTCGTGACCTTAGATATTTTAGAGAGTTAATTCTGAATGTCATAACTTTGCTCTGGATACAGTTTTGTATGGAAAGTATTCACAATTATGTGACGCAGAATTTCACAAATAAAGTTTTTAATTGTGAGATGCTGTTGTGATGTGGTCACTGATGAGTGCATGTGTGGCTTGTCCTGCATATGTGTGTGTGTAGGGTGTGCTGATCTGCTCAGTTTAGAGTCTATGTGCACTGAAGAGAGGAAGAGGCAAGGCTACATCCATGAGCTCATTCAGACAGAGGAGTCCTATCTGGAGGACCTGGAACTGGCACTGGAGGTGAACCAACAGCCACTTCAACAATATTCATGATATATCTGCGTTTGGAAAGTAATGCTATTTGTTTGGACTCTTAAGTTACATAAATATGTTGATTTGGTTCCGGTGTGCGTGTGGAAATTCAGGTTTTCTATAAACCAATGGCAGAGTCAGGGCGGCTGACGGAGGCTGAGATGAGCATGATCTTTGTGAACTGGCGGGAACTGATCATGTGCAGCACCAAACTCCTAAAGTGAGTCAATGCTGACTGCATCCTGTCTGGGCAATTGCAAGTGGTGTCTGGTGGACATTCAGTGTTTGGTTTAAATTTTTTTAGTCCAATATTAATTCATGTTCCAGTTCTATTTGAAGTTTGCATTCTGGAAAACCGTTTATTTTACCCCATACACATGGGACTATTAACTAGCAACCAGTGGATGCAAATGAAAGAATTAAAATAGAGAACTTTTATATATGAGTAGATTTGTTCAAGGTAATATAAGGAAACTGAATGGCTCTTAAAATATGAGAAGTAATTGTAACTATTATTAATATTAAATGTGAGTGATGGAATTAAAAACTTTTTTTAATTCTTCAATATTTTTAATGGTTTATATATGGTTTATTATGAATGACAATCATTTATTTTATTCCTTGTTTTTTTTTTTTTTACTAGTTGATACAATATTTATTTCTTTTCATATACATTTTATTTTAATGAAAACAAAGTCTCACTAAGTTTATACATTTAAAAAATTGTGTTGCTAGCATACATATAACATGTATGCATATACCAGATGATATCCTGTGTGTTTTTCAGAGCTCTGCGTGTCTGTAAGAAGATGGCTGGAGAGCGGATGCCGGTGCAGGTGGTGGGTGATATCCTGTCCTCAGAGCTCTCTCACATGCAGGCCTATATTCGCTTCTGCAGCTGCCAGCTCAATGCTGCGGCTCTGCTGCAACAGAAAACAGACAAATCACCTGACTTCAAACTCTTCCTGAAGGTAAATGGAGTTCCTTACTTTCTAATAAAAACTGCACAATATTTTGCATTCTACTGCTTTCAGACAGGTATAGCATTAGCACTGGTCTGTATTGTTCAGTTACAGCGCACAAACCTTTTTTCACAATAAACAAATTTGGTTTAGTGTTGGGTTGCTGCTGCTTGATCTGTGTCCTGAAGCAAAACTAGTTGTTTAGAACATTTTACACAGTAGTCCACAAGATGGTGCTGTCGCTTACTACTCTCTCTTGGAATATTATGGATGAATTAACTGTCGAGAGAAAATACATTAATTAGACTCTCTTCCTTCTGCTTATCTTCTTCGTAGAAAATTGCCAGTAATTACCGCTGTAAAGGAATGCCACTGTCCAGCTTCCTCCTGAAACCAATGCAGAGAATCACACGCTACCCACTGCTGATCAAGAACGTATGAGAAGCTTCTCCTACAGTCCTCAACTATGGAAAATTTAACAAAAGAATGATAGGAGAATTAATATCTGTTATTGAAAATTTGAGGAAATAGGAAGGAAATTAAAAATTAAAGAATAAAAAAATAAAATTATGAAAGAACAAAAAAAATATATAAGGAAATAAATTAAAGCGTCTTGAAGACGTTGCCACAGTTCCGCTGGATTCAGTCTGTCTCAGTTTTTTCCTTCTTTTTCTTCTGTTTCTTCATGTAATATGACTCCATACTGACTCCATGATAGTGAGATCAGATCTCTGTGAGGAGCATACTGGCTGTTGTCAGACTTGTGCATACAAAAATCTCACTGGATTATTACAAATAATGGCAAAAAGAATATCTGGAATGGAAATACTAAAACACACTACAGCAAAAGATATAAATAACTGCCTTAAAACCATTTTTTTGGGTGAATACTAATGTGCTTTTGCACAGTACTGTACCACAACATACAACACTAATACAGTGTTATTGCATTTTTGTTATAATTATTATTATTAACGTTCGATAGAATGGAAAAATTACTAAGAATATTAATAAAACATTTTAAAATAAAATAAATAATCAGCCATATTTACTCAAGTAAATCATTTGTTTGTTGTTTCTGAAATCTAATGGTTGTAGATTCTGGAGAATACCCCTCCAACTCATGCAGATCACGCAAACCTGCAGGCGGCACTGGAGCAGGCCGAGGAGTTGTGCTCACAGGTGAACGAGGGCGTGAGGGAGAAAGAAAACTCTGATCGGCTGGAATGGATCCAGAACCATGTGCTGTGTGAAGGAGTCATTGAGGTGAGATCACTGAAGGAGAGCTGCTGCTGACCTTTTGGTGCTACATAATGACCTCTAAGTGTAAAACAACAGCTTTTATTATGTGTTATGGTATTTATGAAAATGTTTTTTTTTGTAATATACTTATTTTAGCACCTCGTTTTTAACTCTCTGACGAATTGCCTGGGCCCTCGTAAACTGCTGCACAGCGGCAAACTACATAAGACCAAGAGCAGCAAGGAGCTTTGGGCCTTTCTGTTTAACGACTTCCTGCTCCTCACCTACACCTCAAAACAGTTCTCATCTGGGCCTGACAAACTCTTCAATCCAAACTCAAATGCACAGTACAAGATGTATAAAACGGTAAAGCAGCATGACTGGTTATACCGGTGTCCATCAAGAGCTTGTATGTAGCTGGATTACATTGTTTTGTGTTAAACACTTTGTAAAATGTCCCTCTCTAACAATGTCTCTCTTATTTTAGCCAGTGTTTCTGAATGAGGTCTTGGTCAAAATGCCCTCTGACCCTTCCAGTGATGATCCAGTTTTTCACATCTCACACATTGACCGTGTTTACACTCTCAAGGCTGACACCATTAATGAGAGGTACACATACTATACACACATTCAAACTAAAACGCTCAGATATAGGCCTAAAGCTGCAATCACACACACATGATCCACTGAACTTCAAGTGAGGCTATAAAAGGCTATCCAACGTTCGTTATAGAGTATAAAGCAAAAATGTATTACAATGAGTGTCTGTTGTACAACAGTATTGATCACTTTCTTGATAAATTAGGACTACATGGGTGCAGAAGATCAAAGCGGCATCTGACCACTTCATAGAGACTGAGAAGCTGAAAAGAGAGAAGGCATACCAAGGTATTGAGTGAGGAGTATTAAGAGTCACGAGTCAGTGTGATTGAGTGCAGCTTTACTGATGAAAGCCTGTGTATGTTGTTTAGCTCGCTCGCAGAAGAACAGTGGAATCGGGCGACTGTTAGTAACGGTCCTGGAGGCGACAGAGTTGAAGCCCTGCAAACCAAATGGTTAGAAGAAACATACACAATCTGTCTGGGCTCTATTCACACAAACATCCCAGAGTCACTTCATTAATCATTGACCTCAGGGTTATTATAGTTTTTTTATGTAAAAAAAAAGTTTGTAATTTTAATTGTTTCATTTTCACTATTATTTTTGCGTTTTCTAGTTTCAGTTATGGAGTTTTCTTTTTATTATTTTAACTGGCATTAATTTAAAATGTTTTAATGGTGCTACATTTCACAGCACAATTTTAATATCTAGTGTACTTTTCATCATCAATGCATATGTATTGTAAAGGTTTCAAGTTTTAGAATATACCATATAGCAAAAACTAAAATTAAAATATCTATATTTTTATTTAAAAAAGTAAATTGTATTGCAGTTTGTTCCAACTGAATGAGATTTATATCAAACTGAATATTTTCATGATTATTTTATGCATAAACCTCACTAAACCTCAATATTTCTCAGAAATAAGATGTATATTTCCTATTTTTAAATTTTGCTTAAGTTATTACTATTATCTTATAATATACTGTGTATCAAAAACGAATGTATATTTTTTCTTCAGTTTTTTCCAATTGAATAAGAATCATATCAAAATTAGTATTTCCATTGTTATTTTAAATATAAACTAACACTAAATTTCTCTGAAAATAAGCCGTAATATCTTTCCTTTATACATTTTGGCATATACATTTAATCCAGAGTGACTTAAATTGCATTAAAGGTATATATTTGCTAATTTCCTCCATTCTTTGAGAATCAAACCCATGACATTGGCATTGCTGACTATTTGCTAGCTAGCTATTTGTATACGCCATTTTTTTGCTCTTGTATTAAATACATCTAGTATTAAGGATGTTTAGATATTAATACTGGAGAACAAGACAAAAATACTGAGTAGGAAATTATGTGTGTGTTTACAGGAAAAAGTAACCCATACTGTGAGCTAACCATGGGCGCACAGTGCTACACATCCCGCCATCAGCCCGACACACTCAACCCCAAATGGAACTTCAATTGCCACTTTTTCATCAAAGACCTGTATCAGGACGTCCTCTGCCTCACCATCTTTGAGAGGGACCAGTTCTCTCCCGACGGTGGGATTCTACATGGCACCACACACACAAAATATACATACACAAAAACATATGTATTTTTTAACAGGATTGTGCTTTCAATACAGATTTTCTAGGTCGTACTGAAGTTCCTGTAGCAACAATAAAGAAAGATCAAGAAGATAAAGGTCTGTTGGTACGGCGTCTGCTGCTTCATGAAGTTCCAACTGGAGAGGTCAAAGTGCGGCTTGACCTGCAGCTCTATGATCAAACACCTCACCTGTGAACTCCACATCTGATTCATTAGCACTACAAAATTAACCAGATCTTTTAGAGGGGTCATAGGATGCCCATTTTCCACAAGTTGATATAATTCTTGAGGGTCTTAATGAAAAGTCTGTAACATAGTTTGGTTAAAATTTCTCAATGGTAGTGTAAAAAAACACCTTTTTTACCCTTTCAAAAACAGATCTTTTCAAATCAAGCCGTTTTTGTAGCATTTTCCTTTAATTGTTAATGAGCTCTGCTGACCCCACCCCTCTCTTCCGAGCTGCTCTCAGAGAGACTGTTTACTTTAACCGCATTCATCGTGAAACTTGCTAATTAGCACATTATTAGTAAAGGCGATTTGCAAAGATTCATTACAAAACATTATACTCACTTCTGTAGATGAGGCTGGATCATGAATGATTCGCGCGAACATAGACACATTTATGTAGATCAGGGGCGCATTCCCTTCAGAAACAATGTAATCCACTACTAGTTCAGCGGCTCAGATTTCGGGAGTAAACGACGACTGGTATGTTCATTATTACATCTAACAACAGACCACCTCAATTGCTTAGGAGTCATTCTTGTCTACATCTGCTCTGTGAAACAATGGCGCACTGATGACAGCTCACTCAGGGCGGGTCTAAGGTAAGACACCAGTCCAGTCTGTGCTGAAACGCTACTGTCAATCAAACTATCATGGGAGGGGTCTGTCTGTGTGACGTCACACAGACAGGCATCTGAGATCGGTTCGATTTGAGAAAGGGGAAAACATTTAACCATTAAAAAAAAATTCACTGGGTGGATTTTTATCATTATAGGGTGGTTGTGTACACACACTGCCAACACACATTTCAGTTCAAACAACGTGTAAAAGTGCATGTAGCATCCCATGACCCCTTTAACAGAAGTTTATTAGTGTTCATTTTTAAAAGTATAGGAATGACCCTGTACACTTTTGAAAAAAGGTGAACCGCTTAACAGATGTTTACATGCAGTAAAATAGAGGCTGGTAGTCTCATATTTATTCTCACACATGCTTGAAGTTGTATAATGGGGAATATTGGGTAATAACATAATGATTTGGTTGAGATAGGAACTGGTTTGTAATTTTTACATTTTTAAAGTGCATTAGTAATCTAAACATATTCTATTTTTCGGCTGTTTCCTTCAAACAAAATTCCTTTGATTTGGTTTTCTAGCCTGTTAAATGTGCCTTACTGTTCCTTTCATTCTTTAAAAGCCAAAGATTGCTACAATAGAGACTCATGATGCTGAATATACACTGCTGAAATACACTGCTCAGCATTATCAGTCACTGGCAGCCTTTACCTGATTTTATTTGACTTTAATCTGAACACATTATGTACTGTAGCTTCCTATGTATAAATAGATTAATGAGATGTCACACAAATTGCTGAAATTCAGTAATTTGTAGATTCCACTAAGTCAATCATACATGAGCTTCCTGAACCTGTTCCTGGAGCCTCAGCGCATGTTTAAAGGGTTAGTTCACCCCAAAATGAAAATTCTGTCATTAATTAATCACCCTCATGTCGTTCCAAACCCGTAAGACCTTCGTTTATCTTCGGAACACAAATTAAGATATTTTTGATGAAACGTGAGAGCTTTCTGACCCTGCATAGACAGCAACGCAACTGTAATGTTCCCAGGTCCAGAAACGTAGTAAGGACATCGGTAAAACAGTCCATGTGACATCAGTGGCTCAACTTCAGTTTTGCAAAGCTACGAGAATACTTTTTGAGCGTAAAAAGAAAATAAAAATAAAAATTTATTTAACAATTCTTCTCCCCCGAATTATGTCTTCTGCCATTTTGGAGGGTACCCACACTGTAAAATCCAATAGTTGATCTTACTTAGTTGTTATACTTACTAGGTTTTATTAAGTTCCAGCAACTTTCAAGGCAAATAAAACAATTTACTTACTGTTTTGAGTGACACTTACTTAAAATATTCAAGTAGCCACAAAGGAACCAATGACATTAATAAAGCAGTGAGAGGCAGCAGTGCACTAATATGTTGCTAATGTGCAACATAACAACAGAAGAAGAAGAAAAGAAAAAGAGTCTTAATAGACTTTTCACCCATTTCCTCCACGTCTGCAGTTATCTTTCACTAGTTGTATTCACTCGTTTCCCAAAGTCATATTGAATGTTGAATTTTCAACTGAAGAAACTCAACTGAGAACATCACATAAGCTGACTTCATATTCAATTGATGTTGATTTAAAAAAAAAAACTATTATAGTGATTAGCGTTCTCTTTGGTTGTGCACTTGGAACTTCGTTTATGTTATTATAATTTTCTTCTTGTTAATGCAGCAATGCATCATGAAGTTAGAGTTATTTGATTTCAAGAGAAGAAAAGTAATAAATAAGTTGCTTTTAAAACGTGACCTATCTTCTTATTAAAGCTTTAGTGCTTTGTTTTGCACTAGTTTATTAATGAATATTTTCAAATTCCATTTGTCTTAAATACCACAAGATGCTTTTAATTGGGTTTATATAATCCTTAAATGGTGTGTATAATTGTGCTAAAGTCCCAAACAGACTTAAACATTCAGCACGTGAACCACAACAATGGTAACAATTACATTTAATTTATTTTCATTAATTGTAACAATAACCATTTTATTTGCTCTTTTTGTTGTGCTACTACTGACACAAGACAGCAAATTAAATTGGCAAATTAAATCAACAACTGTAGAATAAAGCAACTGCATAATTTATTCATGCCGCAATGCACTCTGGGAGTCAGTGAGTAGCTATATTAAGTCATGTAAACTTAAATGAAAGGATCAAGTACCCCCTACAGTTCTTTTTTAGTTACTAGAACTCTTGTGCAAGTAAACTATACTAACTAAGCATTTGTCAGTACTATTCCTATTTCACTTTACTTAGTTTTTTCAAGGCAATCAGTTTGCATACTTTTTTTAAGTAAGCCCAACTAATTAGATTTTACAATGCAATTACAGAATTGTTGAATAAATTATGTTATTTTTGTTTTGTAGCTTCGCAAAACTGAAGTTGAGCCACTGTTTTACTGATGTCCTTACTACGTTTCTGGACCTGGGAACATTACAGTTGCGTTGCTGTCTATGCAGGGTCTGAGAGCTCTCACATTTCATCAAAAATATCTTAATTTGTGTTCCGAAGATAAACGAAGGTCTTACGGGTTTGGAACGACATGAGGGTGAGTAATTAATGACAGAATTTTCATTTTTGGGTGAAATAATCGCTGTATTGATAAATATTGAAACACTTTAAAAAATTTTAATATATTCAATTATATAAAGACCGTATGATATATAATGTTATCTGAAATCGTGTAACGGAACACAAATTATGCTTTAAATTCCGAATTGTACAAATTTAGGGAAGATTTAAGAATGTATAATATGGTTTACGGTTTTCCATTGATGATTTTAATAACAGCATTTGGCTTTATGAACAGACTGGATCTGGATGTTGCACATTTGAATTGTTGATGATGGATGTTGAAAGTTTGTGTGGTGTTTGTTCTTAATTTTGTTATTTGTTTAATGCATAATTGTATAAACATCTGTAGGAATAGATTATGGGTTTGAGTACAAATCATATACTGTACACCAAAGACAAAAATAAAAACAGAATGTTTATGATTCTTATCATAAAATGACTGTTTTAAATTTTTTTGTTTTTGATATTTTCTCTTTAAATATCTTTTCTTTTTAATTCATATAATAAAAAAACAAAAAACAAATAGGCAAAAAAGTGGGACCCCAAAAGATTCTTCAGAGTGAACTATTCTTAAATGTTAATTTATTTTCAGATAAGTATGGCTCTATTTGCTTGTCAAAATCTGATCACCTTACAGTTTCTGGATGTTGCAGAACATATGTATTGTTCAATAAGCACTAGACACATGACATACTGTATTAGGGGTGTAACGGTTCAAATTACTCTGATTACTCACAGTTCGCGGTTTGTATCACGGTTTTAGAATGTTAGAGAAAAAAGAACTACAGTAGTCAACATTTTAAGTGGATCAAAAAAGTTAATCAAAGTTGTCCTAAGACAAGAACACATTTTGGTTTTTGGTTTTAGGACAACTTTGATGAAAGGTTTTGATCCACTTCAAATGTTGACTACTGTATACTGTCAAATAAAAATAAAGAAAACAAGAACAAATAATCTAACTACAAGCAACAGCACAAATAAATACAATAGACAAATATACAAATAAAATAAACGGCGCTTTTCAGTTTTTTTTAGGTAGGTCTAACATTTTTAGGTACAGAAATTGAGTAAAATAATCAAATGTAAAATAACATTGCATATTTGACTGTATAAATTAAAGATTAATTCTTAATAAAGTTACAAAAGCTATTAAATCAAGAGCAGTGAGTGTCTTTTGTTGTTTGATTAACATTAAAAACTTTAAAACAATGCACGGATCCAGTACACTGATCTGCCAGGAAACTCACCAAGACATGTTGACATAATATTTTGTGAATTTGTCCATTCAAGCACTAGTCTTGAAAGAGAGTTCAATTTTGCGCGCTCTCTGAGACGCGGGTTTGGTGCTTCAGATGAGGGCGCACAAATCTTCTCACAGCGCGCACAAGTTCTCATTCGCGTCTTCTAGCTCTTGAATGTTGAAACTGGCAAGGCTTAAATGAGTTTAAACACAGACAGCAACGTGTGCTGTTCAGGTCTCACCTGCGCACGTGCGCTATCAACACCCGTGTGATGACGGCATAAATGACCGGTCATATTCAAGCATCCAACACTCACATTGAACAAAGTTTTCAAAGAGTAACTGTATTGTCCATATGCTTTTTTTTTTTTGTATTGGGAAGCCAGAATGCGTATCCATCGACTGAAACATACATTAGCCGAACTCTGTCTGTTTTGCGTGTTGTTATTTATAATATATTACAGATACGTTGCCAGATTTAAGTTGAACCGCGGTGCAAGTGCGTGCCGAACCGTGGGTGGAGAACGGTACGGTTAGATTTTTTTTTTTTTGCGAGAACCGTTACACCCCTGCTGTATACCTCATTATTTATTGCACTTTAATTGT